CCATTCTGTGATCCTGTGATTCTATCAAAGCAGTAAAAATTAACAGACAGAAACAGTTTCTTTCCTCACATATACCTTGCACACCAAAATTACTTGTAATACTAAGGAAGACAGTATAGACATTGCCCATTATATGCATGATTCGTACTCATCCACCTGATATGTTGGTGCAAGTCTCTGTATGCAACAATAAGGACACTAGATGAGCAATTAAAATAAGAACCTCTTCAGTTCCACATGATGCAATAAAATGGAATATTATTTTACCACTGGACTTGTTTCTTTCTCCAAATATTTCAATAGAAAATTTGAACACTGAAAAACAAGCTATTCTAAATAACCAAATAAGAGAGGTTTTTTTACAAGAGCTTGATGGTCAGAAGACCAAAGTTGTCTCTTGAAAACATAAAGTAGACCTGTAAGTACAGCGTTGAAATGAGAGTTCCCTATTTTATTAATCACCTAAAAAACGTGATATTACCAGAAATAGATTTGGCACTTTCCATAGCGGGTACTCTTGGCAGAGACGCTGGCCTGCTGGTAGAGGATGTTCTCAGCAAATGTTCTGGACAAAGAAAAAGAAGAGAGAACATAAATAACAAAGATTCAACTTAAATGTAAGACATTTAGGTATGAGTCATGAATATTGTCTACCAGAGCCTGAGTTCAGCTGTTTTAGTGAGTGCAACTGATTTATCTGTATGAAAGAAGGCCTAAATTTGCTCATTGCCAATAAGGTTCACTATGAATACATCAAGACCTTCTTAATCCTTTTTCCCTAGGGCCTCTTACTAATCTACTTGTCCTGGTCTATAAAAAATGAATTGTTGAACCAAAAGACTGAGCAAGGAATCCCCATTTAGCACATGGCCAAAAATATTCAATATGCCATTCACAATGTATGTGGTTGGTAGAACAGACTGCATGGTCCCTCATGTGATTCCTCCCCCCTTCCAGTTTGTTTTGTTGGGTTTCTTATTTTTTAAATAAAAACATGCCTTTTTTTTTTTTACCATGCAGTGGGGTCAAAAGCATGTTTTTTTGAAAGATTAGTTCCATCTACTGTCAATGAGTAAGATCAAACTGCCACAAAATTGATTTTCTGCAGCATCAAATCTATTATTGAAATCTTCCTTCAAATGAAACCTTTCAACTGTACAAAAAAGATTAACATACTCCTACATAGAAACACTTAGAAGGCAGTAATTTGAATACAAAAAACCAAGAAAATTAAGAATGCAGATTAAAAAAAGTGAAATCTCACTCATTAGGTGAAAGCATGACATAAGAAACACACATTGCTATGAAGATACTTTAAAAATACAAACAGTTGGAACAGGAATTCTGTCTGGCACATTCTCTATCGGAATGCAGTCCTGTTCCCACATTAACTGACTATAATGAAAACAGAAAAACTATATAAGCATACCACTGTTTTTGTGTTTAAGCCTATGGCTACCCATGAACTCTGTAACAATTAAAGAATCCTAACCGATCTTCTTGGAAAGGCATTTCAATATTCCTAAAAATACCCAAGTTCCTAAAATTAAACTCCAGCTGCATTGTACAAATAACCTCAATATGCATTCAACAAAAGCAAGAAGGAAATCTGGCACATACAGACTATTATGAAGTACTACAAAAAAACCCAACTCCAACCCTTTAGAATGCATTAGACCTCAGGAATACCAAATTAGAGGAAATATTCAGCCTGGAGTCATATGGGGATTATCTTGAGAAACATCTATGAAAAAAACCCACCCCTAAAGCAGGCATAAATCAGAGTGCTACACCCAACACATGATAGCCATTCATTCTCACAGGAAGAGCACATTGTGAACAGTTTTGAGAGACAAAACAAAGTTGACAGGACAGGGAAATATTGGGAAACAGATAAATCAACACTCAGTTTAATTCCATTCAGTATTTTCAGCTGGCTCCTGAAGATTCAATACTTAATAAGATTACATTTTCTTACTCACATGCAGTGCAATGCCAAGCATCATCCTTGCTTCATTTTGGGGAAAACACCCCACCCAAACACACAATACATAATGTAAACCCAGAGGTGTGTATTTTTAATATCTGGAAGACGGTTACAAGACACAACCCTGAAATCATCTTGCCTTGATTTTGCAAGTGACCTCAGTTTATGCATACACTAAAAACTGTCAGAATAACGCTGAGTTACCAGGATACAATCATGGGGTTTGTAAAAAAGTCAAAACCAGATCATTACAGTACACCACCATGTACATGAGTAACTGTAACTTGAACCAGAAATATTCCATGATTCTATTAAAATATTATAGCAATTAAAAGCATATGTTGTGATAATACTTTGTATGCCCAATGACATAAAACACAAGAAAAAAGTATTAATAGCATTGCTAAAAACAAAGTTTAAATGAACTTAATCAACACCTTGAACAGGGATTTCAGCGTAGCTTGGTCTTTTGTCTGTCAGCGTAGCCAGGGGTTTCGAAGCTGAGATTGGTCCACTTATAGAATGCCTCTGAAATGGAAAGATACTTGTGTCAAACAATCTGAAGATAACATACAAATACTGAACTGCAGAATCAGTTTTAAAAACTCAGATATGACATCATTACCGAGGTAAAAGAACTAACGAAATGAAAGAACTTTCAAAAATACTTCGTGAAGGGCGCGTCATCCTCACCTGTTGCTTTTGCCAACCTGAATGTATACACACACACTGTGCATCGATATTGTACCCTTCACTGCTTCAGACTTAAACCTGTTTCTCAAACAACGCTGCAAACGAAGGTTGTGAATTCTCTTGCAGTTATTTGTATTAATTTTCACCTGAGTTACATGTTGTTTGTACAGATCTGCTCTGGTTAAAGTTGATATGTTTGTTTAAAGTGATACAACCTCTAACATGTAGCCAAGATTTTAGTGTTGATTTGTGTTAGTAACATATGCCTTTACAGCCCTGTGGCTCTTCTTGGAAAACTAGGATAATGGTGTATTGGTGTAGTGAGATGAACTACCCTCTGCTAAGAAAAACCGTACTGAAAAGAACTTTTATTCAGAATGTGAACAGCTTGTGTTCCTGCCTATTGACTGAGATGCTCTGTGAACAGCTGAAGAAACACTGTTAACCATTTGTCACATAGGTAACTGTCATGGTTTAATACAAATATAAGTATTTTTTTCTTTCTAAGGTCACCTTATTTTCCGCTCTGCTCTAAACTAGCTACAAAATGGATTTTTTCAAGTATTAAGTAAAATATTTAGCAACGCAAGGCTTCCCACTGGATAGCACTGACATAAGCACGTTAATGTCACACAACTGAACTGTACAATGCAATAATTACCCGTACGCTTACTGAAATGCATATGCAGTTGCTGAAGACTCAGGGAAGACCATCCACAATTGTTGTTTTAAATTAATCACTCTAAAGAGCCTATCACCAATTATAGTACCTTCTTTATTCACCCTGTCCTTTCTATTAGACTCCTATGTTTAATCACAATCAGTCCACTATTATGTTTACCCTGAAAACTCCTGCAGCTCTCCATCTGGCCCAAGATTAGATGAGAAGGTTAAATGAGCCTTATCTGCGTAAGATAATAAAGATCAGATGGTTCTCGGGCCAAATCATGTAGGCAAGACAGACAAATCCAAAATTGTGATTAAAAAAAGTTACAGTATCTTCTTCGCAGCATCCAGTAGCACAGGCAGGATTACAGGGCTACTTATTCGTCACAGAGTCAAACTAGAGTTACGCTTTCGTGCTAGAAATCGAATGGACAAAACAACAGTCAACCCAACTCCAAAACATAGCATGAAGAACTTCAGCCTCCCCGACAAATGAAGCCACTATAATAGAGTTAGATAATGGGGTTAAAAGAGAAACATCTTGTTTTCTCATTTTGGGTAGCTTTGGGATTGATGTTACAAAGACAGCACGGTACCCAACCTCAGCCAGGAAACAGAGGTATGTACAGAGCAGGCACGGTGCTGGATAACCATACACCTTTTACCACTTTCTCAGCTTCCGGATATCTCTTAAAAACAAACATCCTTTACGGATATTGTCAGAAAGTGGCTGTATTACTCAACTGATAACTTGCTGTGTACCGGTCCTTCCTATAAGATGATCTGTTTGTCTTTCTGGTCCTGTTGACACTGCAGACAGGGCTTACCTTCCCTGCTGCTAGTTCCTTGTTACGTACCTTGCTATTACAACTGCCAGTAGTAACGTAGTACCTAATACACAGCAAATTAGAGGAAAACTAGCTCCACTTGGCAACATCTGTGTAACGTAATAGCGCACAATTCTCCTGGAGAATAATTTTTCCTGACAAGCGTTAGAATCTTTTCTGCTTGACTGAGCTTTTGTTGAATTTGCTGATCAGCCATTCCTCATTTTCACTTACAAAACACACCTGAGGTGCAAACACACATGGATCCTACCGATCCCTTTATAAACACCCTTTTTCTTCAACTAGAAATACATTCTAAAACTCACTCAGCTGCTAAACACCATTTGTCCCTTACACCAGTGTTCCAGCCTCTCAGACGTAAACGGAAGCATCACAAGTTTGGAGGAATCGCATGCTTTTGAGGCCCTTCAGGGAGGCGGCTAATGGGACAGAAATGACTACAGGTACTTTGCATCTTGTTTATCCTAAACTGAGGCCTAGCAGAAGAAAATGCTAGAAACTTTAAGGACCACTTTTGATGGGGTGTATAAAGAAAATTGTTCACAGAGTTAATCAACATGTTTTATGTAGTAGTGTGTGTAAAACAATTACTGTAACAGATAAAGATGTTAAGACCAATAGTTACTTTCTCACAGCCATTCCTAATTTGAAGGTAAAGTTTCTGCTACAACTCTTCTCAGGTTTATCTTTTTTTAATAAGATGAGTAACAACTGCACAAGAGGAACCAACACACAGGGGAGACAAAAAAAAGAAGATGAACACCTGACACTCCAAATTTGAGGCAGAACTATGGCAAAATTAACTAACTTCTAAAACTCTAAATATTTTGCTTCTGACTCTTCATCCTTCCATGTGTTGTCAGCTATGGAAGCAAACATGACCTTCAACCACTACCAGATACCTATTCCTGATCACTTGGCACCTCAGATATACTTAAAAAAAGTAGCTTATGCCCATGCACCTAAACACAGCAATTTCAAAACAAACACAGTTCTCCACATATTAAGTAGTTAAGATACGGACGTCTGTGACTGCATTCCTTGCAGCCTGAAAGCTTATACGTTCAAAGCAAAGCAGGACATCAGTGGTGTATCTGAAAGCTCATCTACTGCAGAGAGTCCTCCAGCTATGAAAAAGAAACTACCCAGGGAAAGCAGCAGGTATGCTTCCCTGTCCTTACTCCTCCCTAAGCATCTGCTTTGGTCACTCTTGGTGGCATACCAGATCTGTTAAGCTTTGGGCTAACCCAGCAGGGTTTTTACATTCTGAAGAGCATTCTCTTCATACCTCTCTTCCTAAATTGTTCTGCAGTACTGCTAAGCGCTGTGGTAAATAACAGCTATGTTCCACTGCAAGCTTGGACCTGAAGCCAGAAAGGAGCTGCTTTGTTTGTTTTCAGTTGCAAAAACGTACCAAGAATGTATCTCTTTATACATACACACATTACCCTAAAGAAAAACAAACAAAGCAAGAAAAACCTCCCCAAGACTGAGGAAATGCATGACACAGTCCAACACAAAATGAAGTGATACGCATAATTCGGAGAGGGCACATGGTGATGCATCTGTACTTGAAGAATCTTTTGCAACCAACCCACCTTCTCACAGTAACAAAGTTTATGCCCATTTCTCAGTAGGTGCCCATGTAAATGTTTTCCCTGTGACAGCATTTAAAAGCAACTGAGATTAATGATAATAAGCACTGCTACACCCATACAGAAATCAGCCCTTCCACCTTTACTCAAGATCTTAAACCCTGGATGACTTCTGTAAGGCAGGAGCTGATAGGACAACTCACATAGTGGCTGTTTACTAAAATGTTGCTTTTCAATTGCAAGAGAGCAAAAACCACAGACAAAATATATTTAAAATTTGTGCAGAACAACAGTAAAGAACAAAGGAGTAATATGAAAATAAATAAAAAGAAAAGATGATTAAAATTGGTTTTGAACCTGAACCCCTTCTCTCTTGAGCAGAAAATAGTCTTTAAATAAAATTTTCATAATTGAGGTCACAAACCCCAGTTGCCTTCTGGATAATTACAAATGATTTCAAGAAAACCACCTATCTTCAAAAGGACAATAGGAGTTGTTTTCATTTACATGCCCTCCCCTTTGTTTCTCAGGCAATGTTTCCCACTAATGAGTATCCAGCTGTTAATTACTTGGTTCTATACCAGAAGCTGAATTCAAAATTCAAATAATTCTGGCAGATAGAGAACATCAAACAAGCACTGTAAACCTGAGCAGGCTTGCAGTACTCTAAGAGATTACTTTGGTTCATGGTTAATTTACAGATAAATAAAGTGAAATAAGCCTTAGGCTCCCTCAAAAACTCTTCTGTCTGCCAAAGTTCTGGTCTAGCCTCTTAGAACACGAGAATAAGCCTGCCTCTTCCTACAACAGCACAGAAATAAACAGAAATGCAAAGACAGATCAACAGCAACAAGGCATAGGAACAAAGTCAGAGAAAGTGTCATGTTTAACTACTTCAGAAAACTGCTGTCAAGAGTGATAGGGCCATAGGAAGTAGCAGAAGCTCTCACAAAAACCATTTAATTCTTTCTCTTTGCTTTGAGGCTACCTATTTGTTTCATGAAATCCACTCTTAACGGAATAAAAGCTGCACTAGTCTGAGCACAGAAAAACAGTCAGTCTGTTCCAGGTATTGTCCCTTGAGCACTAGCAGTCAATATGGATAAAGACCCTTCGGTTCACACAGAGAGGACTTCTTACCAAAACATCATGCTGGCCTACAGTAAGAATCAAGTTTTGGTACTGCTGGTTAGCAGTATCTTGAAGGCAAGATAAGAATCACTGATCTTAAAGGAGTCAGAACTCAGTACATCCTTTGATTTTTCTTTTCTTTGTGAATATGGTCCCATCTGCTTTGTCCTTAAACTTGCTGGCTTTTGCAGAAATCTCACTTCATGCAAAGCAGTGAGATGATAAAACCAGCAATGATCTATAAAGCCGAGCATTAGAGTGCTGCTGATGCAATCAGTGCACCTGGGCTGCTGTAGCAGCTGAACAAATGGACAAAGCTCCAGCAGGGACAGGACAAAACACACAGTACAATCACCGACTGGCCAAACTCAGCCAGTACAAAATGACAAAGATCATCCATTCACCGTTATTTCAGTCCTCTCTGGTCAGGTCCGGTATCGAAAGCCCATGCAACGTGAGATACATTTACACTGATGGCTGCTGACAGATTCTGCACAGATCTCCATCCACTGCCTGAAGGGGATTACTGTGCCAGGCACAGGACTAAGAACTGACCAACAGCAACTCTAAGGAATGCAGATAAAATTTGTCTCATGCTTCTCAGTAGCACAGGAACAGTAATGGTTGGGAATATTTAACAAGAACTTCCAAATTATTCCAAATCTTGCATTTACAACACAGTTCTCAGTTGTTAAGACTGAACATTACAGTAATCACCTACTTGAGGCAACATTTTATCATTATTTCCCCACAAAGTCAGCCAACATTTGTATGTTTCCACCTGTAGTTTCACATGCTCTTCTTCACAAAGAAGGATTCAGTGCAGTCAAAAGCCACTTACCTGCATTGGGGATACAGCAGCAGCCGGGGGAGTTTTCATGGGACTTGGGCTCAGGGGAGTGCGAGGAATTGTGGCAGCAGCAGGGCTTGGAACTAGCAGAAACACAGAAAGGTAGCCATTGTGAGCACTGTAGTTTTGCAGTGAAACAGGAGACAGGCAGTTAGAGCGAACTCTCGCCTTGTACTTTACATTACTAGTTTTACCAGATCACGTCTTTCAGAATTTCAATTAGCAACTGACTGCAAAGTCATTTTAAAGTATGCCTACACATCTACTCCTCCGTAATTGCATTCATTTTCTGTCTTGAATCATGAATATCATCCATGGTAAAAACATGTTTACCGGAGGTGGACCAGGCTAAGGTGCAGGATACTATTATACTGGCAGATGTAAATGATGGTATTACTAGTTCTCTGATCTCCAGATAATTAGTGAGATGGCAGCAGGCTCCTAGGTCTGCCAGTAAGACAAGAAAAAATATCTGTATCACCTTCTCCTTTCTAATTCCCCAAAGTCCACAGGTATAAGATGATATATCCCTGAAATTTTGGGATTAAACAAATAGCATGTTTAGAAATGTACAAAACCAGACCAATACAAATTGGTTAATCAGTCATCTGATTATTTAACAGAATCATTAGACATAAATGCCAAGGAAGAATGCGGATATTAGCTTGAAACAAAAGATTAAAAAGGCATAGGAGATTTATCATTTTACCAAACCAACTCTGGCAAGAAAGGAACTTTATCCAGTAGCAAATAAAAAAACCTTCTAAATCAACACTAGGAAAGTAAAATCCTGTAAATACCTAAGAAAAAAGAGAACAAACATGGCAATAGAACCATTTACAGAACTGCCAAGTAATACAGAGATGCTTCTATACCTTAAAATATTTTCAGGTCATAAGCAATTAAAAGTAGGTTTGCCATGCTCAGTACAGTACTGGAAGTGCCTCTGGTAAGACCAGCTACTTCAGGCCAAGCCTTTTTACATCAGAGACTTAGAGGGACATTAATTGAAATTCAAAACCCAAAGATGTGGCAAGGGAAGTACTTGAATCCACACAAGGTCAAAAAACCCATACGCAGTCAAAGCTAAACCCTAAGTGTTTCTCATATCAGGATGGTTACTTGGATTCCTTATTCTGCTCATCTACAGGGAACAACAACAGCACCTGTTTCCACAACCAGAATTATAGTGAAGTCCATTGTATCAACAGTGAGATCCCTTCCATTTTAGAAAATATTCCCGTTATCTTTTCATAGGCGATAAGGCTAGATGTTATTTTTAACCTTCATCGGCACCGTGACTGTAAGAATTTAAGTTATTAAAAAGAAACCAACTCAGCTCTAGCTATTACATGGCCTTTAGAATGCTTGATCTGGCACATTAACTCACATTCTAATAGTCAGGCTGAAATCAGCTCTGCTTCCAGCTATAATTATATATGTAATATGTGTTTATGTATTTCTAATACATGGGAGCACTGAATCAAAGCATCCAGCATATGAGTCATTGGCAACGCGACAGTTAAGGAAAAAGAGAGACAAGACAAAAAGAAGGATGCTTTCACTTAACTGCAGTGAATGATTTGTTGTGCAATCTAGTTTATCTTGGTTCATTTCAGCCATCACTTATAGGACATGACTGTACAATAAAATAACTTACCTTTGCATTGGCTAAGCCTTTCAAAGTGTCCGTATCAACATATGCAAAATCATAACTTGGCACAGCTACTCACTGGTGGAAAATAATTACCTTGGGAGGCACTGTCAAATGACTTGATGAGTGTTTTTACAGTAGGAGTTGGCTCTGAGGACGTGGATGATCTGCGACTCAGGCCCATTCCTTGTCTCAGAGCTGCCAAATCTCTCTCTACAGCATTCATGTAATTGTATACTCGACCACGTTCCTCTTCCTGCCTGAAATCAATATGCAGCCCATTTAAGGCATTTAAAAAACATTTTAACAGGCAATTTAAAAAAAATCAACACAAATTGGCAGGCAAATTAAAATCTATGATCCAAATTGGTCATTACATTAAACCAGTTTTCTTTCCACTGTAATTTAGAAATAGGTTATCAACCTAAATTATCACTGTAAGTTCTTACTGTGTGTCAGCAAGAGAGCTTAAGCACCAGGTGAAAAGCCTAACAAATCAATACATGATTTAAGGCTTAATTCCTGCTCCCCTTTCTCACACACACACAGACGGGAAAAAAATCGAGTTTTAAGGATTTCACCATTTCACATGAAAATAATCGTCTCAGAGTGGAGATTTTTTTTTCCACCTGCATAAACAGAAAACAATTTCAAAGAATACTAAGGAGGTAGGAATAAACCCCTGGCATCATCTTTAGGCAGCATATGAATCCATTTAAAAAAATATAGATATTTAGTGCAGAACATTTATGGTGGTTATTGTATTCAGTGTCACTCACAAGACAACAATTGTTTGAAGCAACCTATTTTCTACGGTCTGTAATATTTAAACATTGATTTTTGCTTCAGACACTGTAACAGACTTTCCTAACACCTTCCCTCCAATACAGCAGCTACGTCACTTCCAAGGAATCTGATTTGGTTGCCTCTTTGCTCTTTGCAGTGAATCAAATGTCAAAAGATGGTTGTGTATAGAGAGCAACGAATACACTGACTGGAATCAGCAAGCCAGTTCTACCTTCCAAAGTGTAACTGTAACCTCAAAGGTTCACCTGCAAGCAGTAACTGAACAATTACAATTCTGGCTGAAACCTATTAGTAAGAATTGGTCACATTACTTATGCTGATGATCTTAGCTCAGATAAGATGCCTTACACCCACCACTCATCCATCCAGATAATTTTCCATTTTCAGTGTCACCAATCTGCTCTTCCTAGCATCAGCTTTTCCCCAAGATCCATAGCCTGCATTATCTCATATCCTACTGGATGCTGGGCTACGTGTAACGCATAAAATGCCCATCCATGCGGAAAAAAATTGTTTAATACATAACATCATAAACGTCACTACTGTAATTGTAAGCTATACGTGTATTCAACCCCTGGAGACAACGTAGTCAGAATTCAAACAGTGCTGTCCAAGATGCTCCTATTCTACAGATTTGAGGACTTCAATACTTCTGAAAGACAGGAACTCAATTTCTAAACATCTGTAGCACCTAATTCAAGCCACAACGCATCACAGTTTGAATTATTTTTATTAAAAATGCTTTATGCACAAAGCATCTCTAATTATTCCCAGAAATAATTATCAGTGGAAAGAAAACAGTACAAAACATATGAGGAAGTAGATGAAGGTTTCTTCTCAGGTAAAAATCCAGCTGTGTTTTTAACCGTACCCAAAGCCTTGGATGCTAATAAGTAGTATTAATGACGGTACAGAAAAGCCAACCCTGCTTGTTTTTCCACACTAAGGGAAGTTAAATCATGTCCAGGCGTTAAGTGGGAAACCCCCTCCACTTCAACCTGGTTTTGCAAAAGTGCCAAACTGAACATTCTCGGACAGACCAAGTACGCAGCATAAAGAAACAAATATTGTTCTTGGAAGTTTACCTATTTTGACCCCAGAAATTCTGTACAAAATACCTTGTTGAAATACATATCCTCAAAGTGTGAGGATTTATGAACTTCCGGTGTGTCAGTAATAGCTAAGACACCAGATTTCCAAAAGTACACCCCCCATACAAAAGAGACAATATCCCTGTTGCCTTTTGCATACTTGCGTGACTTTATTTCCTCCAACTCTTTAGTGAGCTTCTCATTTTTCTCCTGAGCTTCGTGTAATCTACGCTTCAGGTCTCCAATCTCTTCCTGGGCCTCAGACTTTATATCATTTGCTATAACCACTGCAGTCTGTAGATCAGCCTGGAACTGACGCCATTCTGCTGACTCCTCCTGTAAGCAAACATTTTTTTAGCAGGAATTTTGAAATCAAATATAAAAGTTGTCATTATTCTTAGCTTCCCTGTGCTGTTACAGGAATGGTAAAGGCACCCAACTCTGGCATTAGGTACAACCTAACTTATAGGTTACACTGAAGAAGCTTTCCTAGAAATAACTAGGCTTCCAAGCTCATTGATTTCTTTTCTAGAAACAAAGATAATGTTCAAAGTGGAGGGGAGGAAAAAATTAATATTAAACTACGCATCAGCAGACACAGGAGCATTTTCTCCTAAGCCTAACTCCATATCTTCGTGACACTGAGAATTTTTCAGAAGTTAATTCTTTAGTGTCTGTAGGTTAGCAAATATATTCTCATATAATGCCTGTCTCTCAGAAATTATTATTTTAATGGTATTACACCTCTAATACCATTTCACAATTTCACATCCAGGTCTTATGACATTCAGAGTTCAGAATTTATGGAGTTTTTAGGTTTTAACCTACCCGGAGTCTCCTGTGAAGATTCTTTATCTCTCTTTCCATGTCATGCTTTTGGTCCTGAAGTTTTTTAACTGTATCTGGAAAGAAAATCAAATTCTCTGTAATATCTTCATCAGGGATCTATTTACTTAAAAAACAGTAACTGAAAAAACCTGCAAAAGCTTTTAAAAACTTACTCAGATAATACATTTTTATAACCAAAGCTGTCTGGGAAAAACAGTATGAGCAGAAGTAACTGGACAGAAAGGGCCAATAGGTACATACTTCTCTCTGTGACTGGTGAGGGGAACAGCATCAGCAAACTCACTTCTTACACAAATCCCAGTCTCTTCTCTATCCTTCACAGTATTAAAATGACAAAGCAATAACAAAGACCAAATAAAACAAGGTAGGGAATTTAACATGGAAGGATCCCAAAAACATGGATATCTGGGGTTTTCCTCTCTTCAAACGTAAGCTGCAGCTACACATTCAGTTTACTCCGTGCCACAAAGCAGCTGACACAACACGCACAGCCATGCCTTCAACGGGGCTAAAATGCTACTCGTGTCCACAAGAATCTTACATTCTTGTCTATCAAGCTGCTGTTTGAAGTTAAAGCAAGCTATATTTACAGCAAATGGACAAACAGTCTTGAGATCATGTTATGAAAGAGATGGCCCCCTAAATCTGTCAGCAGCTATACAAAAGGGTATAGAGCTTGATCACCATCAGCTCCTCATGCGGCGTCTGACAGACTGGCTACTGCAATTATTACTCAGTTGTTACTTTATTCAATAAACAAGGACAGTGTGATTGATTACTCCATTCTTACAGCTAAGCAACTAATGAAGAACACAGCATAAATTTCTAAGCGGTGTGTCACTCCACTGATCCTTGCATTCTAGGATGTTTTATTTCTACAGCATCATGTAAACTGTAAAAATGATGGGCCAACTGACTGAATGCATCCTTCTGTTCAGGTTCACTATTTCAAGACCTGCCGGAAACATATATTTTTCCTCTATATAATCAGTGCTTTTTCCACAAAAAGTCTGAAGGTGCCTAATATGATTAGGCAGTTCAGAACACAAAACCTTGGCCAAAAAAAAAAAAAAAAAAAAAAAAAAACCAAACAAACAAACAAAAAAAAACCCCACAAAACTATGGAACTGCATAGTAAATGTTAGAATAGCCAGAAGATAGGTACATATGTTCATACAAACACTGATACAGTGAAATTCTGTGGCGCTCGTTTTCTAACATGAAAAAAAACCTTTCCAGTGCTTTTACACAGGTATCAGGCCTCAGGAAAATCATTAAACCAGGGTTATTCGAACTCACTTGTTCTACCAATACCTACCAATGTCCGCCCAAGTAAGCCTATACCTTCGTGACACCTGGTCTTTCCTCAGAAGGCTTTTCCTAACAATCAAAATAAGGCTGTGGCAGGCTAAATGGAAAACAGTAAGTATTTCACAAATGTTTAAATCAGATGTGACAAAGACTAAGAACAGATCTAAGCTGACATATGCTGATGCGTATGTTCAGGAGCCTCAACTGTGTCATGAACACATTTCATTTTTTCAGCTATGGGATTCCTTTTGCTTTCTTCATCAGAAGATATTCTTGAGTTTTGCCTCAACAATCCTATGTAGAGAGGCATTTAATGCCACAGTAATTTCTTTACAAGAATGATATAAACCTCAGTCGGCCTAAAAACACAGTAACGTTTCAGGCTTGAAAAAGCTGAAACACTAAAATTAGACAGGTATTTCTGTATTTATCTCCTCCTTAGATTGCTGCACATTTTAAGAAGCATCCAACTGATCTTTAAGCTTTGAAGATAAGCCTAGCAGCACGGGCCACTCAAATCTCATGATACCCTGATACTTAAGCAAAGCCCTCCAATCTTTAGCTTGTTTCTGTATACACAACTTGTTTGGCCTAAAGTCAGCACGGAGATTCCAGCTTTAGGTCAAAGTTATAAAAGTCGCTCCCCCTTGCCATCCTTTTTTCCTTTAAACACATGCTAAAAAAAACCTGCTGCAAATTAAGTAACTTTCAACAGTGACAGCAAGTCAATGTACCCTGAACAGCTTCCAGTAGCATTCTGAAACAAAACGTAGTGGGTGACCATTTTCTCTTGTAAAGACAGTTCAAAGAAAGTGTGTTTTTAAAAATACATTTTGTTCTACTACCCAAAGCAAGCTACAGTTCATCTAAAAATAACCACACACCAGAAACTATAAATGCATCCAAAACTTAAAGCTTGTGTAATGCCATTGTTTTGAGCTTTTGTGAGATATGAAATGCACCATTAAGTTTTAGTGTATTTATGCTTTGAAGTAAAACACAATGGTCTGAGTATTTTGCAGTTACTATAAACAATACAGAGCACTTTACTGCAGTTGTTGGAAACAGTCTTCTCTCCCATTCAATTGAAAAGATAAAAAAAAAAAAAAAGCAACAAAAACCCCTGAAGAGAACGACCAAATTGCAACTGAATTTGAAACGTAGTGAGAAATTAAGACTAAGATAAGTGATTTCAACTCTTATAGCCTGAAATCATTTCTCAGCACTGTGTCACCAATTACAGCCTGAAAATTCAAGTAGTCAAAACAGGTACATAGGCAGCAATTCTCTGTACTCCCGCCCTGTGGTATTCCTCCTTTCTGCATCCTCACAACCTGCACAATTCTTCTCTAACACACACAAACCCTTTCCACCTGTATGTACTGCAATTTTCAGTATGGTGGGTACTTCTACCATTACCCAGTCTCCTCCTTTCAAGGAGCACAGACAAAAAAGAGGACTGAGATAAAAGGAAAAGTAACTTGTTTAGGATAAGTGAAAAAGAAGGAGACCATTCTGATGAATGAATAGGATAATCAAAACTGGCAAGTCAGCAAGCTGCTTGTGTTTTACTGCAGGATTCAATTATGTCTGTATTTTACAAAATGATACTGATTTAAATCACAGCTTGACAAGGCCTTGTTTTTTAAAATGTAGAAAAATAAATTATAGGAAACACAGACTACAAATGGTAAAGAAAAACATTACAACTAGGGTGGAGGTGGGAGGAAGAAACTAAGATGATATCTGAATTTTGCAAGGCTGCCAGAGAAAAAAGTATCACTGTATTCTGTATCTGTAACTCTTACTGATTATGATTAGTGGTTAAAATGTATCACTGTGAAATAAAAATGAGTTTTAACATTCAATCGTTTAATTTCAATAGTCTCTCGGGGGCAGGGAAAGAATGAAAAAATGTCTTACAATATTCAGATATGCATAGTAGTTTCAAAACATGACAATTCCAGACAAGCAACACTAAATCAAGTAATCCCAACACAGGCAAATCCACAATGGGCATTTTCAGTTTTTGTACTAGCTACACTGGTGTGCTTTACACTACAATCACATTTCCATTTTCAACATAGAAATGCCTATCCCAGTATAATCACATCTACACAGAGTAGTGCCCGCACCATAGCTAATTTAAGAATCATAGCTTCTTTCTATAAGGAAGAGGCACTGGTTACAAATCTACCAAAGCTCAGGCAATCTTGCATTTGAGCTCACCACTGTCAGACAACAGGCCTACACAGCAAGCAAGCTGAATTTGTCATGGGTCCAACACAACCCAAAAAAACCTCAAAACACTACTAACAGAAAACTAACATCCAACCGACTTTCCCAACACTATGGTAGAAAAGGCCTAAATATGGTAATGCATACATTTGCTTTGACAACTGCTGTCTAGATCCCTCTCAGAATCAGACTGACCGGCCTGTAGTTACCCGGATTCCCTTGTCATTTATCAGCTGTCTTGCCGTCACTTTCATTCACCCAGTAACTTTCCTGTTAGGCAAATCCTCTCCTTAAGGGATGGGTTAGATTTCCTCATATTTTAAAATCTAAAATAAAAGTTCACTAAAGAAAATCTTTGGGGATCTTTATTACACTTGCTTATTTAGGCTGAAAAAGCATTGTTCTTCTACCTAGTGCTTTATAATACCTACACTAAATTCACCACATTTAAAAGCACAGGCTGACAGAATACCAGAACTGACCAAAAGTCTGACCAGCACACAATAAATTACTTCTACCAAGATGTGCTTTTCTGGCACTTTAATATTAAAACTGTCTTTTATATGTTGTATGTACCATCTCCAAGTCCCAGATTTCCAAGATGCTGTTCTTTGCTGCCACTACTTAGAGGCTTCCACGAAGAAACTCTTGTATGAGGTTTAATTATGAACCCATAATGAACAGAGTTTTAAAGAGACTGGAGAAAGATTTTTTTTTTAAGTTTATACTATTTATCGGGTGTCATCCTTTCTTACGGCCACTAGATGACACTCTTCTTCCTGACTATAACTAGGACAGTGATTTTCTCCCCTGAAGGATCACACCAGGACATCAGTAGCAGAGTTAAATTTTCCAAATTATTTCAAGAGCAATGAGTAACAAACACTGTTGCATTTTTTACTGACAATTTCTCTGCTTGAATTTTCACCAGTTTAAGTGAAATATCTGATAATCAAGCACCTAAAAATTAAAGCTGCCTTGTAATCAGGTGTTAGCAGACAGGTACCCAAATGCTTACTTGACTGCGGTGCTGTTTTCTGTACGAATGTATTTTGGGTAATGGACAAAACAACGCAAATAGCAAGGCATTCAACTTTGCTACAAAATCACTTCAGGAACAAAGCCACTGCCACTGACCATGTGCCTCAGCTCCTGCTCCCAAGTATATGTCTGGTTTTGGCTTTGGAACAGAAAGAGGGGGAAAAAAAATGCAGAATAAAAACCTAAAACAATTTTGTAAAGAGAAACTGCAATTGCCTTTCAAGATAAAGACGGGGTGCTCAGGGAATCCAAGCCGACAGCCACATGTCTGAAGACACCGAGCTTCAGTTGAGCAGACAATTTAGCTTGCTTAAGACACTACTTTTTCTTGATAGCAGACCAATTTAAAATTCCTTCTATGAATATTTATTTCCCTTACTGTTAACATGGATCATGCTTTGAGTTTTTTGCAATCTCACTGAGTCTTTGTAACATGGAAGAACAGTAGATATTTGAATTCTGTTAAGTAGCACAGTGCAAATACAGTTTGCCAGGGTACAGTTGCCCAAGTTCTTATTTAGATGGAGACAAATTGCAGAATTCCAGCCTGTGGTAGGAATGTCTGAGCAGATCTTGGAGATCAGAGGGGGAACTAAGGCACAAAGAGCTAGACAAGTACACAATAAACATGAATTTCATTATAAGCCCCAACCATTTTTTGCATGGTGGTAAGGGACAACAGATAAAGTTTTATTCTATCTTGCTTGAAGTTCATGAGATTAATTTTTGGGTTCACAGATCAGTTTCATGACTTGAGCAAATCTACACAGAAATGTATATAATACACCCATTTTGCCAAGTCAGCTCTAACACCTGTAACTTTCAGGGCCTCCATTCACCCATTTCTCTGCTAAAAACACCTTTCTTCAGGATGGGAGAAATCATTAATTATGACCATTCTCAAGCTATCCAGTAACTCCTAATATTTGGGCACTTGAAGGAGAGCATTCTTAAAAAAAAAAATACCACCCAAACACTAAATCAATCATCCAGTCTCCCAAATACACAAGGAGTATGCTATTAAGTCTGTAATTACACTGAAATTACACACATACAATTACTTTGAAAACAGCATTATCAGATGTGATGTTTACTCTCAATTCACAGGTTTTCATTCCCACACCAACTACTACCAGGACTGGAAAAGCAAAGCCAACTTGAATTTTTTCCCCTAGCGTTAAAGGGTTCTGCAAAGCCCAGTCTGACTTGAATTCAGACATACAAAAGCCAAGTGAAAATATTTTCACTATTACAGTGTTCTACTTCAGCTGTTCTTAAATTATCATTTCTCTCACAGGAGAAACGTGTAGCACTTACTCTCCAAATCAGATATGATGAGATTGTCATGAAGCTTCACAGCACGGTGCTGCTCTACTTCATCCTCCAACTCAAAGATAGTTTCTTTCATGTCACTTCTCTCAGTCTCTTTTTCATCTAGTTCTGTCCGAAGTTTTTCTAGAGTCACATTGAGATCCTCAATTTGTTTCTTGACTTCTTCTTGAAACACTCTGTATTCATCTTCAACCTGAAAGAGAACATATCTTATCATAACTAAATTGGTTGTATTTTAAAACACACTTCTAGAGTTGTAACTGCTGTACTTAAAATAAATTTCTGCAACCATAAAAGAAGTATGGGACAAGAAGTCAAGTGTTAGCCTTTAAAAACATATTGTCCTAGTGCAACTGTTTTCCCAAGCGAGAGTTAAACTCTTTTATTCCCAAGCTGAATGTTTGAGTGTTCCACAACTACCCTTACAGCAGTATGCTCTATTCAAGTGAAGCAGCTGTACCACAGTACCCAGACTGGGTCTTCCTGAGCAGCTGATCCAATTTAACATTGAGCTGCAGAGGAAAAAGGAGGCAGCAGTGGGGGAAACGCTTTACCTTTTCTTTCTCTTGCCAAAAAACAAAGCCTGTCTCTTCCCTGCATCTATTTTAGTGCTTGGTGGAGCTGTGAGATGATGCATTTCCTTAACCAAGTAGCAGGATTCACATTTGTGTGTGAGATGTGTTAAAGTGGTTCCCAGAAGAGTTCTATAAGCTATTGAACTGAATTAAAAAAAAAAAACACCTAAAAACAAACTCAAAAAAGCCCAGGGAAAGGAAGACGTAGTAAACTTCTCCCTTTCAGACTATTTTATCCTGCCTCATGAAACCACAACCTAAGTAACAAGCTGAGAGGCACAGTACCATCAAGGCACCAGCAAAAACAGGCTGTCAGAAAAACAAGAGAAATTAGGTCATGGCTTAGGGTGGGTCAACACAGTCAGGCACCAGTTTTAATAGACTAAATGCCCTGCTTTCAATCATCTGTTTCAGTATTTATTTTAATAGCACTACCTAACTTGAATTATTAAAATTAGATTGGTTTTTTTCCCCTCCCAAACTAAGGTTGATTCTAACTGGCTGGTGATCATGACTAACATGGTGATTTGCAACTAATATATAGTTCAGACATTAAATTCGGCACAAATTTTCTCATCAGAAGATATACCTTTAAATACATACTTACAGTTACTAAATAACTTTTATGATTCTTATTTTTATATTAAATTATGGTAAACCCTTTTACTAGACATATCTACTAGATAAATTAGTTGTGTCTGAGTCAAAATAGCTGTTCTAGAACTAGAAAAAAACCATTTTGATCCAAAACCCAGCCAACACACAAGCTGCACCTGGATGGATCATTAGTAAAACAACTGTTTGTATTTGCCATATTTAATAATACTTGTTTAATAACTTATCAAAATGTTGTTGGTGTTTGGTTTGGGGTTTTTTTTTTGGTTTGTTTTTTTTTTTTTTTCATTTAAAACTAAAATATGTATTCAGTAAATTAAATTAAATTCGGTAAATTCTCTAACTCCAAATCAGTCCTTTCTTGACTGGGAAAAAGAGATTTCTGTTTTCTTTATCATTAATTTATTCTAAGTTAACTTGAACAAACTGAAACCTCAAAATATGCTCTCAACACCTGTAAAAGGTCCCACAAGTCACCAACAGCTGGGTTATCACTACAAACTTTGACTCCCAATACTTTCTCAGTGACAACCCTCTTCAACCAGTTTGGCACTAACCCAAAACTCTTGCAGAAGACATACAATTTAAGCACAAAATTCATACCGTATACTAAATACTGCTTATGTTTGCCCCTTGATAGAAGTTGTGGAGTTTAAATAGCAGTATTTTTAAAAAAGTTACCCTGTGAATGTATCCATATAATTTTCTAAAAGGCCTCTGTTGTTTTCATAACAAAGGTTTAGAGGAGTAATCAATCCTTACACTACTGCAATCTGATTAACCTCAGAATTAATTCTTTACTTCTAAAAACTACAGTGACCAACAGTAAGACGTGGTCTATACCAGATGTTAAAATACAAGTTTGTTTTAAACTCTACCTTAGCAATGGCATCTTGCAATCGATTGGCATCGTTGCGAGTGTGTGCCAGCTCTTCTTGCAGACTACTGGCCAACGTCTCTGCTTTTTCTTTATCCAACCTGACACTCTCCAGCAAATCTTGTATATCTGATTTATCTCCAGAATTGTGTATAGAATACAACTCAGCCACTTTCTGCTTTTCATGCTCTAGCTGAGCTTTCAGCCTGTTCATCTCGATCTGGTCACTGGCTACTGTGGCTTTATACTCCTCTAAGGTAGATGCTATTGCTGTTTTGCTTTTCTGCTCTGACTCAATAATCCGTTCCATGTGGTGGTTTCGTTCTTTTAATGCCCCTATCATTTCCTGGGCCTCCTTGTTGTCTTGTTCTGCCATCTTCAAAGTGTTGCTCAAGTGCTGCTGAACACCCAAGAGCTGCTCTCGCTCAAACCGAGCGTTCTCTGCAAGGTCCATATAACGCTGCTCCAGCTCCATGTAGCGACCGCTTTTCATATCTTCATCAATTACATAGGAAATATGGTGTTCGTCTAAAAGGGACCGAAAATACTCGATCTGACGACTGAAGTGTTCTAGCTTGTCACTTTGCTGGCACAAAGATTCCATAAGGATGACTTTTTCCTCTCCAAGTCTTTCATTCTCACTGTTTAGCTCTTGCGTTATTTGCTGCAAATCTGCAAGCTCTTGAAGTGTGGCTTGGAGCTCTTCGGCTGTACTGTGCTGATTCTCTTCCATCTGATGTATCCGTTCTGTCAGACAAGCTACGGACACTTCACTGGCATTGCCACTGCTTCCCTTTCTAGATCTTTCTATACTCGGTACGCCTTCAGACTCCGAAGATGATGGAGCATCTAAGGCATCATCGCTTGATGTCAGTGGCTGATAAACTTCACTGCACTCACTGTCTAAGTTATCCATGGAATTACTATGTTGGTTGTCCATCAACGTGTTTTCATCCTGACTTAACAAGTCTTCCATTGATCCAGGAGCAGAACCTTCCACCGAAGATGTCAGAGTACCACCACCATCGCTGTGGTTGCCAGCTGCAATCTCTGGACTCAACGACTGATAGCCAAAGAGTTTTTCAGAGTTGTCCAGCCTTTGTTCCAAAGAAAAGCCTAAGGCATTTAGTCTATCTTTTAACATTCGATTCTCATTCTTCAGCTGGTTGAGCTCTTCTCGGATGGCAGTATTTTGCTCCTGTAACTGTAGCAATGTAGACTCTACATCAGTTGGCTGATGGACAACAATGGCCTCTTTTTCTTCAGATTTTTCATCACCTTCAAGTTGGTCTTCATTAAGTCCCAGCTGAGCACGCATATCCCTTAGTTCATTCCTCAGATGCAAGATTTCCACATCTTTACTTTTTGCTAATGTCAAAAGATCATTCACCTTTGCTTCCAATGCAGCTTTGTCACTGATCTGATTGTCTGATTTGGACTTGCTCATCCGAATATCCGACTCTGGATTGGTGCGACTACGGGAGCGTTTTGCCAGTACCGTATCATTGGTCCCCTGTCCAGGCAAAGGCAGCTTTTTGCTCTGGCTTAAACGAGAACGATCACGTATTCTTTCTCTAGAAGAGCTTGACTCTTTAGTTCCAGATGAAGTGCTACGCTTAGTTGTGGAACTTGTACCTGTATGTGTTTTGAAAGTTAGGAACATGAATTTAAAAGACAATACCCATAACCGAATACTGTGTATTTTGTATTGGCAATACAGTGGTTGTATTTCCGAATCACACTTGTAAATATATTTCATAAAATAAGCTTAGAGCAAACATTTAACCTCGATCATGAATCAGCGCAGTTATATTTTAATTGCTACACACTTTACCAATTGCTATGCTTTACCAGTATTTTGAAAATGGAGTTAGACCTTGAAGTTTAACATTTGCAAGCTTCTCTTTTTTTTGTCTTCAACAGCATCTGGTAAATTGTACAAAACCTGCAGCAGTGCTATTCCTGCAAGTTCAAATTTTTCAGTAGATTTGAATGCAAGCTTTTACATCATGAATTGCATATTCATGCAGGCTAAGGGTTTTTTTGTATTTTCATCTCATTTCATAAAGATGAGGATAGATCACTACTACTTCATTTCCACAGGTTTTACAGCTTTGCAAGCATTACTGAAACCAAAACACAGCAAAGGAAGGTAAGACGTGTTTCCATCCATCTTGATAACACACTAAATGATTTCACTTTTCTGAACAGTTCCTGAAAGCTCTACTTTTTCTATAAAGCAACACAGAACATCCAAAATGTTGACTGCAACAAGTGATCACATTTTACAGATTCAGTGCTTGTGGCATAGATTTTTTTTTTTTAGACAAATTCAATTATTTTAGGCAAATCTATGATTCTCTAGATTAATTATCTAGTTTTATATAGTAGTTGCATAAGCAGTACTGAAAAAATTAAGAGGAACACACTCCAAAAAGGCAATTACATTACTAAAAAATAGGATAAGAGCACAGGAGGTGTTTGATTTGATCGTGGCCTTACTGACTGCTTCATTACACATCCTGAATCCCACTATATAATAGACAAATAAAAATCCAACCAACTCCCATCTTTAAGGATCAATATATCCATTTACCTGCAATAGTTTTGGGTTTATTTTCCAGACTGTTCATGGTCGTCCCTGAAGCTGAAGATGCTGTTGATACACAAGTGCTCTTCTTTGCCTTGACGCCGTTGGTCATTGTCACGCCACCACCACCAGCCATCCCCGCTAAGAGGTCATCATTACTCTTAGTCTGAAAGAAAGGCAGGAAGCTGCCTTAGGACAGCTGGCTGAGAAGCCTGCATAGCCAACATTTCTTCTGTTAAAGACTGCATCAGTTTGAAAAGTACACATTTGACTTGTCAGGTGTCTATGCAAGAATGTTGTACAGTATAAATGCACTGCACTGCAGAGCTGGTACACTGAAACTGAACTTCAACTTCTTACATATGACTGACCATGGAAACGGAGTCTTCTCTCTCCCAGACAAAATGATTAACGTTTCAATACCAAAAAAAAAAAAAAAGGTAATCACAGTAACACAACACAGTAACACTTCTCAATTTTGATGACAGTTTATTTAAGCATAAAAATGAGGACAATGTCCCTGCCCATGGCAGGGGGGTTGGAACTAGATGATCTTTAAGTTCCCTTCCAACCCTAACCATTCTGTGATTCTATGACAATTAAACCACCAAATACTAGGAAGTTTGCATGATGTCCTTCAGTAGAATGTGATCAAGCATTTTCTGGTGGATGTGTTCACAACAGAATGATCAAACCAAACAACAACAAAAATCAACCCAATATTAATAAAATACCTTTTCTAGCTCAAAATACTAAGCTACAAATCACTAGAGACTAGGGCTGTATTTAGGGGGGGGGGGGGGAAGCCATCCTGACCATGTATCTTTGCCTTGTTGTCATGCTCTTTAATAGGCACTCTCAGAGACAGGATATTTGTTTGATGGACTTTGTCTGACCTCGTATGATCATTTCTGAAACTACTGTTAGCCACAACAGCTGCCAGGAACGTGACAAAGCAGTAAGCACAGAAGTCTCAAGAACCAGATTCCCAGATAGAGAACACATTTTTCAATATTTCTAGAATTAGCTTTATTCTAAGTTCTTAAGTATTAATTAGCAGAATTTACAACTCTTTAAAATGCAGTTTTTCAAATGGCAAAACAATCAAAATATGCTAAATATTCTTTCCATTATAAGGGCAAGCAAAATTAAAAGAAAACAGCTGTGTTAGCAGCATCCCTTGAGTATCTGTATTAGTCAGCTGGATAACACATTTGAAGTGTCAACCAGCATCCCAGCCAAAAGGTAGAGCACAGGAATTAACCACCTGCTTTACATCATGACCTTCAAATTCTGCAGGTTTATAACTTCCAGCTCCCACACATGTTCATGTTAAAAACTATATGCCAGACATTACGATTCTATACATTAAGAATGAAGGTACACTTGCTTAATTAAAAAGTAGTCACATCTCACTCCACTCCATATAGCTTCTTTTCACAAGTGCAAAACATCAGCAGTTAGGAACGCTGATCACAACATTGTGGGAAGGGTATGGATGGGATGTGTGTCATTTACAAAGAGCAGCTGCAAAACAAAGGGGCATTTGGGAAGAGAACATCTTTGTTCTGCATGCAGTTGTTCGAAATACAGATAATTTACAGAAAGAAATAGGTATTTTTTAAGGGTAAAGTCCCCTAGGACAAGAATGCTTTTATTGAATCATGTAGGAAATGGTATAGCCTTCTAAAAAGGTTTATAAAAGGCTGGAAGAAAACACATTACTCCAAGGGTCTAGTATGATGTGCATCTAAGCTCTCTTTATTGCCAGGAAAAAGCCACTGTTGTTCCATTCTGCTCTTCTCCATGTGCTTACACACTGTGCTGTGTAAACTGAAGCCTTTTCAAAGGGCTCCCTCCTCCCAGGAGCCAGATCAGCTCCTTGATCTGCTACATCACACAGCTGTGCAAAACAGCAGAGGCAACCCAAGGACCAACAGGAAAATCCGAATGTTGGAGGGCTACAAAATCAACAAAGCCCACACTACTCATGCGGGAGGGAAGAGCTGAGCACAAACAACCCCTGCATGATAATCCTCCGTTAACCTGTAATCTGATCAGATTTCATATCTAATCTAACCTAATTTTGTGGCCATGGGGGTAGAGGGGGAGGAAACGACCTTGTGATACAGCTATAACCTAAACCAAGGTATTACAAAAGGGCACGGAACAGTGATCTTCTGTTTTGCTACTGAATCTGCCAATCAGCTGGCAAATGTGAGAGTTCAAATGGACTGTTAGCTGTCAGCATTTTTACCCTGCTGAAAGAGTGGGGAAATCAGATGCAGCTTTTAGGCACTTACATTACCAGTACATGTTATCAAGCCAAATAGGTCAAGATGTGACTCATCTTGAAGGAAAAAAAAAAACCAGTGATCTTCTGTTTTGCTACTGAATCTGCCAATCAGCTGGCAAATGTGAGAGTTCAAATGGACTGTTAGCTGTCAGCATTTTTACCCTGCTGAAAGAGTGGGGAAATCAGATGCAGCTTTTAGGCACTTACATTACCAGTACATGTTATCAAGCCAAATAGGTCAAGATGTGACTCATCTTGAAGGAAAAAAAAAAACAAATAAAACACACGCTTTGTGACATCAATCTTTTTTCTGAACAAAGGAATTCAAGACAGCCATTCTTCTCCCGACTTACCCATAAACTATGCCTCATCTAGACTGGAAGGCACTGCCTCCTCTGCAGCCAATTAGTAAACAGTTTCTCAAAACTGTAACAGTATACTCTTGGCAAAGAAAATTATTTAGCAAAGCTTTGGAAAAATTACAAACCAGCAGCTCTTTTCTTAACACTCCATAATGGCAACTATTCTTGACTTCAAACATCCAAGTATTTTTGTAGCGTATATTTTTAATGGAAGCAAAATCAATGCTGTATGTTTATTTAACAACTTTTTCCTCAAGGAAGAACAGTTTCTCCCATTTACTGAAAACAGTGCAATCCTGCTTAGCATTAAAAACCCTACATTAGAATATGAAAAATTAGAAATGATCATCCAGACATAACAGAAAAACCCCATACTTTATAATTATATAATTCATATTCTGTTTTCCCCTACATCTTTCCTTCAGTGCAATGAAACTTGAATGGTCACCTTTACAATTCATTTCATCTCAGTTTCTCAACACGTATATCCTACTTACAGCACCTCATTCTAATCCATTTTTATATATCTAATTATTCCTACCTGGGATTTTCTTTGATGCTTGCTGTTGGGGCACTCAAGTGCTTCAAACACCAAACTTCACAACAATCTGTAATTAAGTTCCTGCCTTTTGCAAACAGAACACTGAAGCCCAGGCGCATGAATACTGAAAACACATTCCAATTTTTAATATTCAAATGTTGGTGTCCAAGTCCTGGCTTTTCAGGGACGCTGGATTTTGCAATTCATTTGTTTGCAGAATAGCTGCCATCTAATTACAGTTGTGAGTGCTAGCATGATCACAAGCTCATTAGCTGAAGTCATCACAAAATAATGATCTTAAACATAAGATCATACTGTTATTTGCAGAGTATTTTTTGACAGATTAAAAACCAGAAGCGGCTGGCAGTTAACCCGCTGGAATAATCGAGGGGAGGGATGGTGGTGGGTACTGAACATTTACAGAAGCCCTGGGTAAAGTGGTAGCCTAAATCCCACAAAGAAGTAACCGACCAAAAGGCATCCTGAAGCAGACGAACAGCCCGACCTCTGGAAGTGTTCAGCTGTACAGAAGGGTGGGTCTCTTCCTGGGCTCCTCGTCTACACATTTTGAAAACTCCATGAAAAAAGGACAAATCTATGGAACAATATGTAGTGAAAGAAGCCCATGCAAAGCTGAATACTATCCCTTGGTTATAAAATGAAACGGATAGAAAAAAAAACCAGACTGTAATCATAAAGCAATTTTCAATTTTGCAACTTCATTACTGACTAGATTAAGACTGTTACAGCTCTGTAAGTGTGTATTCCTACTCCTTAATAGTGGTCTTTCATTCAATATCCAACTCAAAGTTTTCTGTATCTATGTGCACACTTACTTTGACAACTGAATAAATTAGTAAGCTGTCGCAATTAAAGTTACTTAACACTAGCTTTTTTTGGTCAAGGAATATTAAATGAAATTCATAATACACCCCCACCCCACTCCCCCCCAATTCATCATGTCTAAGAGAAGATCATACAACCACTATGAGGAAAACAATGTGCCAAATGCTCCACCAACAAGGGCAAATACAAAGCCTTACAAATAATTATTTTAAAAACACTACAACTTGTTATGGGTATTTCTTTCAAGCCAGTAATTACAGAAGTGTGATTTGCCAGCATCAGGAAGTCAAAAAAATACAAACAACTAACTTTGTTGTACACGTGTGGAACACTCACAGGAGGTAAGAGTCATCATTATTATTAAGTCATAGAGTTGGCACAACAAGAGCTTAACAAGTAAGAGACAGAGTCATCATTATTATTAAGTCATATAGTTGGCACAAGAGCTTAACAAGTAAGAGATATCCAACTGTATGAGTAAGCCTGGCTGTAACATTAAGCCAAGATAAGTCTTAGTAATTAAAAGAAAAATTTTCACTGTGCCTCAAACATACAGATTGTCAAATTCTAATCCTACACCCAAACATAGCCAGAAGTGTTACTAATATAAGTAAAATTGTGAAAGCATATTGGGTCAAATTTCTTGAGTGTTAGATCATCCTCCTCCTTTATCTCACTGAGGTATGACATAAGAAACTTGATAATTAAACTACAGAGGAATTTTGTTTCCATATTCTTTGAGTGTTTTCTAGAAATACAAAATAAGTAACATCAACAAGCATCAAAAGATTATTTAAAGTTAAGAAAACTGCAAGATACATTGGGTGGCAGAGGAAAGGTGAGGGCACTGGGAGAAAATCTAGCTGAAACCTGGCTTGCGAGTTCATCAGCAAAAGTATTAACCATTCTACCATAAAAGAAAAGCAAGAAGAGAGAAAGGGAACACACCTTTTGACTTCAGTAATCCTGCATAGCTATTACAGAAAAACCTCAACCCTCACCACTTCTTTAATTGTAGGTCTTTATTTGCCAGTTATTTAAATGGCCGATCTGGATTTCCACAGGTGACAGTGGTTCAGGTCCCAGCTGCCGACACCAGCCCTTTTCCTTGTTCTGTTCATGTGCTCCAGGGCAGCAGCAGCGCCACAGCTCTGCAAACTGGGCCGCAGAAAGGCAAAAAGAGGTGGGTCCAGCCGTGTGTCCATGCCAGGAGCAGGAGGCAGATGGAGCCAGCTCATACCATCTGTCCAGCCCAGATGTGTTTGCTCCCAAGTGAAAACTCCACACCAGCACACCTCGGTATGTCTTATTTTTCTTGGTTGTTGAAAACCATATGCTCCTAAATCTACTGCCCTGTTTTGCTAATACAAGAGAAAACCTCTACCTTTGAACTTGTTTTTGGAGCAAGAATCAACTTGTGAAAATTCAGCGCGAGCAGTACTTCACAGAAAGCAAAGGCCAAAACAGCTACAAGAATGCAGCTGCACTGACCTGACACGGATCACTGATATCAGAAAGTTTCTCATGTTGAATACCTCATTAGTTCTTTTTTCAGCATGCATAAATAGCTCTTATCAAATCCCATTAGTCACTGACACACCATTCAAGCATAACACGTGACACCACTAATAACATCCATCAGAACGCAACTTCCACCCTGCTCCTTTTGCAGGATAGCCAAGTTCAGCAGAGTATATTGCTTTCCATCACATCAGACACTGCAACATGAAAAATACCACATGAATGCCACACGAGGTCCTGTTACCCTGGGCAGCGCTGTACAACCACCCAAATTCCCTCCAGTTACCCGTATAACAAACCTCCAGCCTAAGCTGCATAAAGACATGCCTTAAAATTCTGCTCTTTTTAAAGCTTTATGGTAAAAAAATACGAATAATCAGAACATCCTATTGGTTATTACCTTCAAAAGAGATGCTGATGTCCCAGTTTTGGAGAGTTTTGTTACTGCAGACACTGAGGAGCCGTTTTCTGGTTTGGCTTTTTCAGTTGTTTGAGTTTTATTTACTCCAGGCACTTTGGGCACTGAGCCAACACTCCTGCTTGCTTTCTTCATTCTGGGCTGTCTGTTTATGATGCATTTACAAACAAATCTACAAGCAGAAAGAAATGTTATATATAAAATGCAAATGAAAAGCAATGTCTTTTTCTATAATGCTCTATTTAAGACCACAAGTCCAGAATACCAGTAGAGGCCACAAATTAGAGCCAAACAGAACGCATGTGACTGACCAATGGTTTTGGCTATTTTTAACAAGGTATTTTTACCAAGAACTAAGCGCTTTCTACAGTTCAACTTTTTTTTTCAGTTCTCTTTCCACAAACGGCACTGAACTGAGGATATTTTATAAGTGATCCATGTTGCCGAGTTCACTCGTTAGCTAGCAAAAGAAAGGCTTATTAGGGCAGCAATGTTCTTTATTTCTGACTGTGGGAAGGAAAATACCGTGGGAGTATTCAGGCAACAGTCTGACTACCAACAACACTGGATCTGAGAAAAGATTACCACCAGCTTGATAACTAAAGCACTGAGAGAAACAGCAGTTGCAGAGAAAAAAAGTATTTTATAAAAATTAAAAGAAGTTGAAAAGTATAGATTCCCTGAAACCATTTATTAAAAATCATGTTAATAAACACATGGGATTCTACAAAATTTAATATTAGTCATATGATTATGAGAATAATATCTCTGAGAAGAAACCAGAGGTAGCCCACTGCGTTTCCACGGTCCACAGCCAGGACACTTCAGCATCTTTACCTTGACATTGAGTTTTCTCAAACAGCAGACGACTGTCAATACTGTCACTCCAACCATGAGCCAATAAACTAAACCCCAGACAACAAAGCTGACTTTACTCAAACCAGGAGCAGCTGCAGCAGACACAAACACAGCAGTTATCACAAGAACTGCTCATTCTGGAAGAAAATCTAAGAAAGGGTAGACTAGCCAACAGCCATAACTTGAAGTACAGACAACCAGAAGGACTAGACACACCAAGATCTTCTTCCCTCTTCCTAGAGTGGGATAGCTGGCAGCTGTTTTCTTCATCTCCTGTGAGTCAGAAGACATAGGACAGAAGACTAATTAGAGGAAACTTCCACAATCCTTTCAGTCTTACAGATTCTGGATGGAAGGAAGTGATCAGGTTTATCTGGGCCAAATATCCTGTGGCTGATCAGAAACGTAACACACATCTAGTGGTTTCAATCTCTTAAAAACTGAAGCATTTCAAAGGCACAGAAAGCAGACACAACTGAGGGCATGAGACATGCAACACAAACACACAGTGATCAGGAGTACTAATTAGTATCAGCTAACAAAATTAACACCGTACACTAACACACACTCCTTCCTCCCCATCACCACCTCAGCTGCACACAAGTATATTTCAAGTCTGATTTTTATCGGTCAGTAAAGCTCCAGGAGTTTTTCATCCTCAGACCCCTAAGTGCTGTTAACAGAAGCAACAGGAAGTTTCATTTTAAAACACTGAAAATATTTGTTTATAGTTTCCAGATTCCCTTTAGCTCTGAAAGCTGGCATGAACACACACAGAAAACTTTGTTTGCTGTTGCAGTTTCATCATCAGAATGTCAAAAATGCACTGGTCCTGCCATACAGCTACTAGTAATCAGAACGCCTTCACAGAAGATTAAATAATGAGACGCTCCTAAGAAAACCAAAACCCAAACCAGAAAAGCCCCATGAAGGCAGTATGTTTGCTATACACACATAATTTAAGTGGCACAACTGCCTATTAGATTCCAGAAGCAGATGCTAATATTTACAGGTAGGACCAAGTTGCCACACATACATTTCTTGTCTTTTTCATGTTTATGAGTTGAACACTTCCTTGTGCTTCTGAGCTTATTCAGCCAAAAAACTAAAACTGAAAAGACATCACTGAAACTTACTACTGAATGATATTTTTTACATTCTACAGACTACCTAAAAAGAGTTGTCCATGGCATGACTGAGCAATTGGCAAACGAATTTTCAGTGCACAGTGAAGCTGACTGCATTTCAAAAATTACCTCAAAGAAAAAGCTAGACTCTTGCAACAAATCCAGTAAATCAGAACCGTGGCTTTTAGACAGCTCGCAGAGCTAGTAAACCAGTGCTATAATGAAGGCTGGGTATGGGCAACGGCGGATTACCATACATTTGGGCAGGGCGTGACAACCTTGCCTGGCAATGGAGATAGAGCAGTAGCTCCAGCTGGCCCGCAGCCAGCCAGCCATGGCCACCTGCAATACACATTTATCAGGTCTAGAGCACGCATTCATCAGATCTGACACGGCTTACAACATGCCAGACACGCGCTGCACACATGATCTTTGCAAGCACAGTAAAAGATCCATACATTTAGGATCCCCTTATTATAGCGGTAACATAACCCACTGGATGTATAAACTCGAAATACAGGCAAACACAACATTAGCTTTTACACTACAAACTATCTATACTCTTATGCATATATCACAGAGATCATCAGTGACGGAAGAGTCTGAAGCCAAAAATGTTCCTCATCAATAATGGATTCCTCAAAAACGCAGGGTTTAGATGAGCTCTTGAAAACATGCAACAGTGTTTCCAAGAACAGCAACTGCATAGCAAAGGGATGTAAATAAGTGAAACTAAATAAAGTAACTAAGTATAATCCTCATGTTTCGTCACAGCATTATTTTAAAATATCCAGAAATTTGACACTGAAAAACACTATTTGTGATTTACTGTAATGTAGAACCACCTTTCCAGAAACTTCAAAAGATACTTAAGAGGACAGGGCGGGTTAGGTACTGCTGTTCCTGTTTTTCTTCCAGAGAAACTAGGCTCTAGCAGTTACTTTTTTAGTGAAAGAAGATTGTGTAACTGTAGTTTAAAAACTGAGAAAAAGATACAAATTAGTCCAACTTAATTTAAAATAAGGACAAGACATTAATTAGCATTACAGGTTCCGAAAGTAGCTGCTCACTCAGGCTCCTAAAGTGAATTTATGACCTCTTGGTGTCAATTTTTCCCCTTCCGTCTTCTTCAGGAAGGAAAAAGAGGATGGGGTTTCAGCACTGAAAACAGAAGACATCAATATTGTTGAACTGAAAGTGGGAAAAGCCCTACTTCACCCAGTTGCTCAGAAGACAGACATTGCAAATAAAGACTGGCTTCGTGCTTCTAAAGAAAAACATCACATTTCTTTGAAAGACACAGAATTAGGAACCAACAATAAACTTGTCTGTACTCAACAGTAAATTTTAAAATAAATAAGATGCTCACTATCCCAATGAAGCTTTCTGAAGACTAACACGCAGCACTAATAATTCAAGTGAGAGCTAAAACATTGTTTCACTATTGTTTTAAAAAGCAAATACTGCATATAAAACTGTAGTTTATATTTTGCCCTAGGGAGAAAGAAGGAATTACTGAAGATTTCCTTTCCCTTTACACACACTTCCTCTCACCTCAAAGAAACAGAAGAAAGAAAAAAGTGAAGTAGAAGCTTAACACTAAAAAGTTGCAGTGGAATGAACAGTTGTAATTCTATGAGACAGTCAAGAGAGACTTTTTGGAGGTCCCTCATATCTCACTACTAAACAAAACACTCATCTATCAACAGACACAAGACATTACTCGAAAATATCTGATTAATGCTAGCACTACGGTATCAATTATGAAATTAATCAGGATGGAAAAAAGCCAAACCAAGCCCAAAATATCAGATAGAAGGACTACATTCCTAAACTAAAATGTAAGTCTTCACTCTAACCTGTATCCTCTCCCAGACGTCTCCCTTTCCACAGCACACATCGTACAGGAAGCGAAAGGGAACCTTGCTCAGGAGCCTGCTCTCGTTGCTGCGGTGGAGGCATGTGAAACCAGCCCTGCGTTTTATACCAACTGCAAATACAACTCCATAAATAATAATTTAAAAGTGTTTTGCCCAATAGCATGGCTCTGCTCTTTACTGTAAACTGATAGGGTACATCCACCCAGGCAGCTTGAAATGCTTTCAGCGTTACTCTTAACATACGCTTCAGAAACTTGAAAACTGAAGCAGGTGGGAGGGCAAGGGGGTGCAAGGTATGATTCCTTACTGTGATTATTCTAACCTCATCCATTATTTAATAGGCTTATTTATACTAGTGTTGCTGTCACCAAAGTAAAGCTCAATTACAAGAGTACAAAAAATAGTTTCCTGTGCCTGTAAGGTGAGAGAGGGTTAATCAGCAAAGAAGGTATTAGCCTTTTGCCTTTGGTTGAAAATTCAAAGTACCAAGAGGTATTAAACAGTGTCATCTATTAAAAAATTGTGAATGAAGGTAATTCTAAGGTTATTTATCATTAGCTATTAACAGTTCCAGAAAAATGGAAACAACTGATCCCTCAAATTTGAGGATACTGAGCTTTTTTGAATCATCAAATACCCAAAATACAGAGGAAAACAGAAATATTCACATCTAAGAGTAATAGAGTCAGTACACTTTCACTCTCCATTTGTACAACTTCTTTGGTTTTGATATATTTAGGCTGACAACTTTTGCCCAAATAATTACGGAATGACATTTTCAGGTCACTTACACAGTCCCAAAAGCCGGAATGGTGTATTATGAAATACAGCCTCTTCACCCCCCTGTAAAACACAGATTCAGAACCTCCCAAGCCTCCGTAGGCAAGACAGCACAGCCACCAACAACTCGGCGTCTGAGACATGAAATAAGCTACATACTAAAGAGACAGAGTTCTCTGCATTTATAAGGTACACAGCTCAAACTTTCAGCCTGCAAGCTGCACAAGCACTCCACAACCATGTCTCTTGCTCAACAGTTCCAAAAACACAATCCATTAATCACTGGATTCCAGAGGCTCCAAGGAAGCAGTGCATTTGTTTTATTGCTTAAGACTAAGGCATCAGTTTTAGTGACTTGAAAGTTTGCTGATGCTAGAAGGTTATTTAAGATACCAAGGATAACAGGAAACTGCATGGAATCACGGAAGACCCTTACGAGACTAACTGGACAGTAAAAACAGCAAATAAAGTTAAATTTAGGTAAACACAAAGCAACCTATCTCTTGGGGGAAAACCACCT